GTTGAGAATGAAAGAGCAACAGACAAGTATCAGGAAATTGAGGTGTGGAGAGAGACAGAATGGGTGTGGAGAATAAGCGAGAGAAAGAGAAAAGAGACATAAAGCTAGATAAAGCGTAACAGAAGAAAATCATGAAATAGAGATGTAGAGAGAGAGAGACAGACAGACAGAGAGACAGAAAGAGTATGTGAATAAGTAAGACAAATGGGAGAGAGACATAAAGGGAGATAAAGAGAGGACTCATTAAATAAATAGAGACTGAAAGGGAGTGAGAATAAGCGAAAGAAAGACGACAAAGACATAAAGGAGGATAAAGAAACAGAGAAATAAGGAAAAATATATATATATATATATATATATATATATATATAGAGAGAGAGAGAGAGAGAAGAAGAAGAAGAAGAAGAAGAAGAAGAAGAAGAAGAGAGGGAGAAAAAGGAAAAAGACAGACAGACAGAAAAGTAGTGTGAATACGCAAGAGAAATGCGAGAGAGACATAACGAATCATAAGAGTGGACTCATAAAATAGAGATGTAAAAGAGGCAGAAAGGGAGTGAGAACAAGGAGAGAAAGACGAGAGGGACATAAAGGGGAACGTGAGAAACAGAGAAATCATGAAATAGTAACAAAACACGTGCGCACACACACACACACACACACACACATATATATATATATATATATATATATATATATATATATATATATATATATATATATATATATATGTTTCATTAAAAACGACAGACAAGGTACTACGGTTGAGCTTTTTATCTAATTTTTCTTGTGTTCTAACAAGAGCTTTCTTTTCTGGACAAAGAGTGTGTAAGAACTGTCCGAATGTTCTGTATTTCCGAGCGCTTTCGGCTATACCTTTAGCCATTATCAAGGATGATTCGATTATCAGCTTAGTAGAGTGTGTGTGTTCTATGTATGTTCAGTGTGTGGTAGTGATGTTTTTAGTTTCCGAATACGGTTAGCACATTGTGGCTTTGTTCATAGTTAATATTGTTAAGAGTTGGCTTTTTTTTTTTATTATTAGAGCTTCCATTATTTTTAGTCTTTTTTTGCAAGTGGATGCAGTTAATATATTTGTGTTTTCTACTAGTATTTTCCTAATAGTGTCGGGTAAATCTGAGTGTGTGTTTAAATGTGTTCTGATGGAACTGTGATCAGATAGGTGTAATGTAAGACGTCTGGATAAACATGTGGTTGTGTAGCCGATGTAATTATTTATGAGTCCGGTTTGGTGAGGAACGCAGTTCCTTAAAGGGCATTTGAACTCATAGATAATGTTTGTTCTTTGTAATTTTGACTTAGTTGGTGTGTTGTTATTTTTGAGAATAAGGTTGGCCGTCTTAAATTTTTTATAATAGATAATAAGTTTGATTTTTTTATTCGGATCAATAGGAGTAGTATATTTCTTTATAATATGCCTTAGAGAAGATTCATCTTGTTTGTAATTAATATGCATTTGGTTTTTGTAATAAATGTGTATGTGATTTTTAGCTGTGTGTTCGCTATCGTTATTACTTTCTTTGGGGAGGAATAGTCTAATTTGTTGGTCTATAAGGTAGTTAGGGAAGCCGTTGTTAATTAGTGTTTGCTTAACGTTGTTAAGTTCTTTGAGAAAGAGTAGTCGAGAGGATGAGTTCTGGTGGGCTCTATTTAGAAAGTTTTTTTATTATAGCTATTTTGTACCTAAGTGGACATTCGCTTTTTTGAAATTAAGGTGGCACGAGTTTTTTGCTGGTGGGTTTTTTGTATAATGATGTAATGAAAATGTTATTGTTGTGTTCAACGAGGATATCTAAGAATGGTAGGAAAAAAGAGAAATAAAAAATCATTAAATACACACACACACACACACATATATATATATATATATATATATATATATATATATATATATATAGAGAGAGAGAGAGAGAGAGAGAGAGAGAAAGCAAAAGAAATGTGAGAAAGACATAAAGGGAAATAAGAAGGGACTCATTAAATAAAGTAAGACAGAAAGATGAGAATAAGCGAGAGAAAAGACGAGAGACATAAGGAGATATAAGGAGGAAATACTATGAAATATATAAGGAGAAAAATCATGGAATAGAGATGTAGATAGATAGATAGAGAGAGGAAGAGAAAGAGAGAGAGAGAGCAAGCAAGAGAAATGTGAGAGAGAGATAAAGAGAGATAAAGAGAGTACTCATTAAATAGAAATGTAGATAGAGGCAAAAAGGGACTATGAAAAAGCGAGAGAAAGACGAGAAAGACCTAAAGGGAGATAAGAAAAAAAAACAGAGAGAAATCTTGATATCGAAATGTATAGAGAGACAAAAAAAGGAGTGTGATTAATCGAGAGAAAGACGAGAGAAATATACAGGAAGTGAAAGGGGAAAGACCCACGAGACAGAGAGTCAGACGAAGACATTAAAAGAGAAAGAGAAGCAATCATGAAACTGGTAGGGAGAATAAGGTATTTCTATACCTTATTCTCAAGTGAACGAAGTATCTTGAAAAGGGAATCGGGGTGAGATATAAAGTGGGGAGATCTTGACTGAACTTACATGAAAGTAGGCGCCGACCGGGGTGGCAAAATTTGGCAGGTATTTTAAGTAGAAGCTTGCAAAAAAAAAAAAAAAAAAATTGACATGAAACGGAAATCCTTAAAACTTAGAAAGCGATCACTAATTAAGACGTTTCGTTAATTATTGAACAATTAAATAATTTTCTAAATAAACATACAAAAATTGTTGAAAACTTGTCTTGATATTTTGGACAAATTACGAAAAAAAAAATAAAAATAAACATTTAACTAACCCTGTAGAGATAATTATGACAGCCGAGAAATATGATTTATAAATTTCAAACTTTGGTCAAAGACCATAACCCATTTTGTTAAAGTTGAAATAAATAAATAAAGATATAAATAAATTAAAAGGAAGCGGAACTTGTTTCTAAAATAGGTTTTTAACATCCTGCTGTCATAGTTGACAATTTTGAAAAATCACACTTTCATAGGAAATGTCATATATATATATATATATATATATATATATATATATATATATATATGTGTGTGTGTGTGTGTGTGTGTGTGTGTGTGTGTGTGTGTGTGTGTGTAAGATATTGCAAAACAAAAAGTTATTTTCCGATGAATCGTTGTTTCTGCTGTAATGTTCATATAACGCTATCGTTGCTGGTCAGCAAATCTGTAAGGAAGACACTGGAAACAAAGGGTTGAGTGAAGAATGGTTTTATATATATATATATATCTATATCTATATCTATATCTATATATATATATATATATATATATATATATATGATAGAAATTAAGGAGGATATGAGATAATGATAATTAAGTTAATCATCGACTCTAGAAGAAACCTCAACAGAATGCAGAAAGCACTGGACGGCCGTTTTGTTCTATATTTGGGACTCATCAGCAGTGCACATCCACTACAAAGAATTGAAACCCGGACAGTTACGTTACCAGGCAAACGTCATGCCAACTGTAATGGGGGATAGTAGTCGTGGCGCGATATCGAGTCTAATTCCTTAACTCTTTACCGCCGAGGCCCGTTGGTACAATTGGTATGAAGTTTGCCTCATATCGTAAATGTCCGGGTTTCAATTCACGGTAGTGGATGTGCACTACTGTATACTCAATCTATGCACTCATGTGAGTCCCAAATATAGGACGAAATGGCCGTCCAGTGCTTTCTGCCTTCTGTTGAGGTTTCTTCTAGACTGGATGAATTACTTAATTATAAAGAAGAAGGCCGGAGCTTACATAGGCCGAAACGTCGTGAATATGGCAACGAAGATTAGCACAACAGTCCGAAATATGTAAATAGTTTAAATAATCTGGGATGTTTTAACAGACGACAAAATATCTGAGGGCGTATTGGGATAGAGGAAGATGCCTTTAAAAAGCTAAGAAAAGAATTAAGAGTGTTGTATCGAAAAACTATCTGACCTTCTCTCCACCTATAATTGAAACTTGGAATATGAGTTGAACGTCTGTTCATGGAACAGGGGCAAAAAGAGCGTAGCGCTTTGCAGTCGTACGCTTGTCCTACTGAACTACTGTATAATCAATCCATGTTCTCATGTGATTTAACTTTTCTTCACTCAACATCATTTTGTTTCCAGTGTCTTCCTTACAGTCTTACTAACTAGGAAGTATCGTCCATTTAATCCATCGTGAACGCTGCCACTGATCTTCAAAGAATCATGTTAATGTACACAAAATTTAGTATTAATTGCCACACGATTAGTAGCTAGGATGTTACATTTGTCATTATAACTGTTATAGTAATTTAACCACGCATATATGGACTATACAAGCTATAAATAGGAGCAGGTACTGCCTTTTGGAGAGGGAAGTTTCCAGCAGTCAGCTCTGACAGTCGGACCGAACACTCTTGCTGTCACACTCTCGTTTGGATATATTTGTATTACTGTTTCTGTTAATATATTTGTTTAACTCAGTTCCTCTCTTTGTGTCTGTATTTCTCGCCCTAACAAGGCAACAACAGATAGATAGATAGATAGATAGATAGATAGATAGATAGATAGATAGATAGATAATGTTATGGTAATTTACCCACGCACGCATGGACTCCCCCCAGCTATAAATAGGAGCAGGTACTGCCTCTTTGGAGGGTAAAGTTTCCAACAGTCAGCTCTGACAGTCCGACCAAACATTCTTGCTGTAACACTCTCGTTTGTATATATTTGTATTACTGTTTCTGTTAATATATTTGTTTAACTCAATTCCTCTGTTTGTGTCTGTATTTATCGCCCAAACAAGACTGCAACAATAACTGGTTCTCAAAAACGGAAAATACGTATCTCTTAACCTACAAAACTGTCCCGAGTATGACGATAAACTACATCCGTATCCTTGGTAAGGCGATAAACTACGTCCAACAGCGGGGCCTCTGGTCGGGTGGTTTTGGAGAGAGTCAAACCACCTCTTAATTTGTGATCTTCCCAGG